TTCTTCGTATTCTTAAAAATTTTAATTCTGTTAAAAAATTCAAACTGTAATTTCCACACACGTTTTCTTCATCAACTAATTGTAAGCGCTCTTTGTTTCGATCACCGCGTTGCTCGCCTCTCGTACGCCCGTCTCGCTGAACTCGCGGGGAGGAGGCACAAAATGTGCTCGCTTGTGACGTCAGCTGGCGCACTTTTCCCTACGAAACAGTGGCAAGAAAAATTCACGCGATGCATTGCCTGAACCGTAATTTCTTGTAACAATATTATTAAAAAATAAAATAAAATTGAGTCCTTTTCCACGTTGTTTTGTGTTTTTGGAAATTCAGAAGTTATAATTTATAATTATTAAAAAAAAGCAAATTGTGCAAGCTAAATTTTTTGTACTTGATTAATTATTGGGAAGAAGCGAGATCGTACCTTTTGTGAACCAGTTGTGATCGACGAGAAGGCAGTAAGATCACTGAGCCGCGAGAAGAGCGCTTGATGTGTGTAGACTGGATGCTTCAGTCGCGGACTGCGGATGGCTCTTTGTCTTTTCTTTCATTGAACCGCACGCCTTCCCCTCTCGTTGCCTTCCCGCTCCTCCGGACCAATCGCCGGAGTGCCGCCACCTCGTTTTTTTATGCCACAGAATCAAAGGTAATCATGGGCTGGATTATGCCCGCCGGCCAGTTTGGTTTATGGGGAGGGGGGGGGGGGTGAAAATTGTCACATTACCCTCGAGTGTCCACGAGCGTTCCTCTGTCCTGATGAGAGGCAACAGGTCTCTCACTTTGCGCGTTTTATATTATTATTATTATTATTTATTCTTCTCTTATAGATTGGATTTTAGATTGCTCTCAATTATACTCTGGCTTAAAATTGTTAGTAATGTTGTATATTAAACCCTGCGTTTTTTTCCAAAAGTCTGCATGGTAAAAGAAAAGCGACGACCGGCTACAGCAAAATCATGATTTGTCTCTCCGAATGGTAAAACCGCAAAAACCAAATAAGAAGATTGGTGAGAGAATTAATATAATTGTAAACCGTTACCCGGTTAATATGAGGATTATTAAAGCAAAGCACCAAATTTCTGACGTGAAAGAAAAGAAAGACACTCACTTTTGTATCTCTGCACAATTTTATAGATTAGTCCAATAATCTGCTGATTCCTTTCCGGTCGCGCAGTTCCTTATCAGCGTCGTCACTCGTGAAAAAAATATTCCGATAGATTGAACACTTATGAGTGTGAATTGAAATTTACAACCATCGAGGAGAGGAAGTGTGCGTTGCGGACACTTGTTTGCATTTCCACCGGCCGATGAATTGATTGCACGCGCGCTTTATACATACCCCGCGTGGCTTTCACGCGCTCGTGTGTGCTGCTGTTTCGTGTGCCTCTCTCGCCAGTGACGCCAGTTTCGCCGTCACTCATTGTCAGCCGCTTCAATTGCAATTGATATCTCGCGATTAGAGCGGGGTACTTTTTGCAATAAACGTTTTGTTGCTCTGTAAAAAAAAAAATTAAAAATTTTCTGGATGGTAAAAGAAAGATTGAGAACATATTTTATTGAAAGTATCAACCAAGAGTTGAGTTATTAGAGGTTTGCAAAAAATCTGCATGATCTACATTTTCAGTTTTAATTGAGTAACCCGGCGCCTCCACCATGTATAACAATGGGAGCGGAAAACAAGAGCGAAGTAAACTGATTGAGGTCCCAAATACAACTCTGTTTATTATGGTAGACGTAGCTCATTTTATACAAATTCAGGCCTGGAAATTTCACATGTAAATTCCTGACTTCGCTCGTAAATGCATCCTAAATTATTTCCCGTGCCGAGGCCTCCGGAGTCCCTCTTTGTCGTGGCGCCGGAGGTTCTGTGCCGCGGCTCAAGGATGTGGGATAATTAATATGACACTACTCTGCTATTGATATATGACGTGACTATTGTATCATTTTAACAAAATCTTCCTAATATGCAGATTTTTTGCAACCTCTTTATAACTCAACTCTTGGTTGATATTTTTTAATAAAGTGCGTTCTCAATTTTTCTTATACCTCCAGGAAAATTAATTTTTTTACAGAGCAACAAAACGTTTATCCCAAAAAGTTCCCCGCTTGGATCGCGAGATATCAATTGCAATTGTAGCGGCTGAGTGACGCCGAAACTGGCGAGAGGAGGAGGCACACAAAAAAACCACACGGCGACGAACGCGGCTCTCACTGATTTTGCGAGTGCTCGGCCGGCGTACGTCGCCCTTTGGAGTCTATTGAAGGGTTGGATCGACATGCCGGCCACTCGAATACCTTGCCCAGTTCATGGACTACTTTGATATATAAATCTTTTACACGCAAATTTTCTTCGCAAAATGTTCATTTCTAGCCGCTGAAAGCAAATCAATCAAAAATAATTTTGTCATCAATTTTATGTTGCGTATATTTTTCCAATTTCATTAACTTTTAATTCCTAAAATTTCCAAGGAGATCAAATTACAGAAATATTCAATTTTGATTGATGAATTCAAGGACACCGTCAAAGCCAATAAATACACGAGTTAAAAATGATAATCTGTCCGTTCTTTCTTCTAACTATGAGCACCTTTTCCTACTTTTGTGGGTCGTAGTTGGACTTCAGAGAAAGTCTAACCATAAAAAAATCATTCCAAACTTGCGACGAGAGCGAGCCTTGATCTAGCTCAACATTTTTCCCTGCGCCAAGGTTATTCGTATCAATTTTCAACTGCGGGCGATGAACCGCTGCACGCGCCGCCAAATTCTACAGCCCGTCATCCTAGCCTTGTAGCTTACATTTTTTTTCTTGGGCGACCGCCAAATAACCTCTCCCGTTCATTGACAAGCCACATGATGTCATTTCGCTTGCCTTCCTTAACACTTTCTGCCTTGATGTATTTTGCTATTTTTCAATGAAGAAATACGAACATGCTATCAGATTAACTAGCTAGCTATTTTTATCAAACATAAAAAAACACAATATATGCACTCCAATTGTTAATTTCGGCTCAATATATTTTCAATTACTTTTAAATCAAATACTTCCTAGACATGAAAGTAATCATTTGCACTAACTGTATTTTTGTGTTGAAATTTGAACACAAAAACCAAGATAAATCTTTCAAAATTTTGCATAGTTTTCTACTGAATGAAAATTTCAAAAACAATTGGAAAATCGCTTTTAAGAAGTTACCATGGAATGAAGAATTAAGAGATTGGAAATTATGACAAGGAGACTTGGACATTTTAAACACCGCAAATCTCTTTTATATTAAAAATAATAAAAGAGAGCTATATTGTAAAGATATGCGACTTTTATTCTTAAATTAAATCATGATTTTTCTTATTATTTTGGAATTCTTCATTTATCCAGAAAACTATGCCAAATGTTTGAAAAATTAATCTGATATTCTATTTTTTATTCTCTTGCGTCAGAATAAAAATTTAAATACGGCGTTGGAATTATAAAAATAAGATCAATTGGAAAATTTGGCAGTGATTCAAAGCTTTCCTAACTGCTTTTTCTATAATTTTTTAATTGCTTTTTAACTTGAAATCCCTAAGAGATATTTAGCCTTCATATTCAAGCATTGTTCTTCTTACTAAATCTGTTCTCATAAATAGAAATATTTCCGCTGCAGTTTAATCATTTTGAGCAAATGACACCGTATACGTTTGGATTTTGACCGAGAACACTGGTACGTCATAATAGCTGCACAGATAAGAAATAAAAAGAGAGGCGTCTTGGCGAAATTATGACCTCGGGTCGTTTTTTCTAAAATTTGTGTCAAATATCTTATGAATAATCGCCGCGTGAAGGCAATGAGTCATAATTCACTTATTTAATTATTTCCCGATTCCAGTGGCTTCTTGGAGTTAAAAATTCTCAAAAAATATGTTTATTTATTTCCTTGGCTGCTGCCTAATTTTCTATCATCAACACAATTAATTTTCCTCCCATCATTTTATAAAAATTGTGAATCAAATTTTTCAGATTGAATTTAATTTTGACGTGCGATTCTTCTCTGCACAAAAATAATTAGTTCCAATTAAGATCGAAATAGTAAGAAATGAAAGTCACGTCCACTTTAATTTCCACTTACTACAATTTAACAAGGACATGGCGCTTTTGGTCCCAAATTGCATTACGCGGGAACCATAATTTATGATAAATTCAATTATGCTGATTTTCAACTTGATTTTTAACCGCTTGGTAATTATGTATTATTATCTCGGGAGCCATAATGTTTTTTTACCACTAAACGCAAACAGCAGCCAAGCCAGAGCGGTTTATTGGCTGCTCACCGACGAGCCTCCGTTTTGCGTGACGTATTATATAGTCTCGGCACTCGGCCAGACCCGTTTTATCGGCCCTTACGATTTAGCAGAGGCCCGACAGCTATCGCTGGTGCCATTCCCAAGAGGGATAGGCAATAAAAAAAATTAAAAAATAAGAGTTCTTTTTGTTGTTCTTTTCCAAATGAAGTTTCACTCAGAATTATCACATTTCCTTTTTTACTCTCAATAAAAATTATTTTAATTTACTTATAAAATTTCTCTCATTTTTTTTTTTAAATTCAGTATTAATTTAAATATATTTTCAATTATTAATTGAAATCACCCCTGTATGAATTCAGTTCCTAAATTTATAACTATTTTGCCTTGTTTACAAATGAGAGAGTCAAATTTTAACTGCAAAAAGTCAGTTTAACTGTCGGGCTGAAAGATTTAAAAATTGTGTTCAACTAAAGCAAAATTTATAATTTATTTCAAGGTGAAAAATCTCTTTTTATTGATTACTAGGGCCAGCAGCCAAATTTTAATCTTAACATTACTTTTCATTTTATGTAACATTGTGACTTTTATTAGTCTGGCAAGAAAAATTGAAAAGGAATTCGAAAGTCGAGCAATTTAAGTTGACCTTTGTTTGTTTTTTGTTTTGTTTGTTATTTTATCAAAAATAGGTGCATTTCTTATTTTTAATCTTTTGATTGATTTGTTCCAGCTGCAACGGTGATGGTCCAGACATGTGCGACAAATGCGCCGAGGGTTTTGTGGACAGCCAGGGCGTGTGCGTCGAGGCGCGCCAACAGGAGCAATCGCAGCAAGCAGCATTCACACGTTATGTCACCTACGCCGGTCTGTGCGTCGCCACTTTCATCATTTTCAACAAAAACACGTGGATTGCAATGATAGTCGGACTGGCCGTGTCTCTTTACATCACCATTGCAGAAAGCATGTACGGCGAAACCAACTGGGACTTGGGCGCGTTTGCCAGAATGCTCAAGCTGACCGAGTGAATTGTGCGGAGATGACTTGGAAAGTGAGAAATAGACTTTTTTCTGATGATAAGGTTAGCTCTCATAATAATGCAAATTAGCGCGCTTGAATATCATTATATTACTAGAGTGGATAATTATAGAAATTTTGGCATTTTTGATCATTTTACTGCAACATGTCAGTCCTGAAAAATGAAATCTTTTTTTCACCCTAGACTATTTATGGTTCAAAATTAGAGTAACAATTTGAATTTTTATATTTCGGTTTCGATTTCTTGAAATCATTATTGAACTAAAATTAGATTAATGATACAAATATGTAATACTTTTATTCCACACAAAAAATGAGTGCATTTAACTTTATTTTTTAATTTTTTGCTTGATTGCGTATGTGCAAACAATGCAAAGATTTCAAACCTTAAAGTCATAAAATTTTAAATTGTGTGTCCATTTTAGAGAGTATTTATCTAGTCAGGCATAGTATTGATAAAACTAGTCAATTTTTGAATATTAACTATCAAAAATAAAGAGGCATCTTGCTTCACATTTGGCGATTTTTAAAATACTTTTTCTTCTCTCTCTCTCAGCATATTCCCACCAAGAAAATTCATTCTTATTCTGAATTTATATTTAAAAATGATCAAGTAAATATTATTTTATCGATTTAACTATTGATTTTTTTTATAGCTCACAATTGTACCAATTGTATGACTCAAAACATGGACTTTTCAGGGACGCTAGCCAATAAGTAAGGTATTCCAACTCTTATTAGCTATATTTTAGCGAAACAAACAAAACTATCTGAATTACAAGAAAGTTATTCTGTTTTGCTGTCAGTCTTCTCAGTAGCCAGCTTATGAATTGAGAACATTTTTGCTGCCGCTTCTAACAATTTGGAGGCTCCGTACAAGATCCTATTAGGCTTACGATTAGCCTCTCTCAGCGACCCTTTCTTCACCTCTTCACCATCTTCTGTGTGGTCAGAAGAGTTCGCCTGCGGCGTCTTTGGGGTGCTTATCAATTTTGGTTTCTTTCTGCTTGGTTCTTCCACCAGGTCTCCGCCGAACCTTTTTTTAGAGCTTTCCTCTTGAGTTTGATGTTGGGGAGGATGTTCCAGTGGAAGATTCACCGGACTTGTGGTGAGAGACGACTGCGTGTCTCCATCCTGCAAGCGGAATTACCGTTTAGCGCTCAAAATGTAGACTGCCCCCCCCCCCTGAAAATTTTCCAGGACCTTCACCTGGTTTGTGCCTTTCTTTTTTAAATATTTTTTTATAATTATGGTATATAAATTTTGCATTACCTGACGCTCCAAGAGAACTAATGCGACTTCGCTTCGAGAATTTCGGAGCAAAATCTGCTCGGTTGCGGGCTCTAAGAAATTGTCGGACACTTTCAACCACTTTCCTTCATTTTGATGAATCAGGTTGTAATAGTGTCCCGAAGACCCTTTTCGCCCGCTATGGCACGCAGCTCCGATGAGACGGTAAGGCTGTAAGCGAGTTTGTAGAGCATCTCCGGGGTTACTAATAATATAACATTTTGTAAAATTTGTGTGTTCAATTGTTATAATACAAACCTTAGGCACTTGACATGAACTTGGGTCTCCAATTTGATTGCAGCCAGACTTTTTTCGAAGTTGTCCATTATACGGTTCAGCTGGATGAAGATATACCTACATATAAATTAATAAATAAAAAAATAAAATATTTTTAAGTCAATTTACTTAGGGCAGCTCTCTACAATCTTTTCCGTTCCTTTGCCATCACAGCACGAGGAGAGATCGGTTGAGATCTTCAACATCTCGCCAATTGACCAACCCGCCTGGACGTTAGCCATTGCGATTGTCGAACACTCTTTTTTTTTCTTGGGATCGGGTTTTAAGCATCTGTTTTTTTTTTTTTTTTTTAATTATTATATTTTTTTTTTAATTTTAAATAACACACCCGTTGCAAACTATCAGTGAAGTGTGACGGCAGCAGTTCAAAAGTGTGCTATCTACTCTATCAAGCAAAGTGAAAAGCTGCATGAGGAACTCGGCAACATCCTCCTCTTGGCCCATGGTGAAACCAAAGGCTTGGATTGAACTCAGGTGGAAGTTGTCCGCAGCTCGATCTAGCATCTCCAGGTCTGTGCGCTCCGATCCGTAGAAGTCGGCCACGCTTTTAATGCCCTCAAGGGCCTTCCTTTCATCTTCCTTCATTTTTGGACCAAGATAGATCTTCTTTATGGCGTTAAGGAGACATGGAGTGCGAAGCACCAGCTGCAGACCTGCATTAAGGTAGCAGCTCCTATTGTCATCATTGCTGAGGCTGAAAAAATGTATGGATATTAATGGTAAGGCCCGTTTTTCTTATCTAAACTCAGAAAATGGATTGAAACGCGACCGCTTTATTGGTCGTGGAAAAAGGGCCAGAAAAAACGCCCTCCGATCCAACGCCAAACACTGGGAAATCAACGACGCGAATCCGATCCGTGGCTTCGAAAATGCCAAAAATTTGCTTTATTCACCTTTATCAAGGACAAAAATGACAGCTCTTATCATATTGTTGCAAGTCTTTGGCATCACAACTTTTCCTTGTGTTTTTTCTTTTTAATTACCCTTTGTAGCCTGACTTTTTGCAAACTCTTTTATATCTAACGTGTCATTAAATTGTTAATTAAGGTGACATTTAATTAGTAAAACCATTCCTTTTAGATTATTTTATAATATTGTACTTACTGGACCTAACACGGTCCAGGTCACAGTTATCAGAACGAAAAACAAGAATTTTCATTTTTATCAATTGTTGAACTGAGATTATGACCACGCAAAATAACCGAAGGGTCGAATTTATGTTTAACAGCGAAAAGGCCTAATGAAAGCTATCGATTAGGACTCCATTAAAAAAAGTGTGGGTGGTTTCGGCACTGGAAAAATTAATAATTAATTCTTACCCAGGTACTCCGTATTGAATTCTCGGAGCAGTCGGAGATCTTGTGGGGTTAGAAAGATGGAGGTTCTGCAGAATTCCAGAGATCAGGACGGCGGTCTCGCACTCTTGTGCAGAGGCGTCTGGCGGTGGCTGGATTTGCAGGAGAGTGTGCCGGGCCCGAGACATTAGCTGCTCTCTTAGAATCTTATCAATTCTCTCAGTGGAGAGGAGTAGTTCTAGGTTCGCTTCCATGTTTGAAAGATTTTCTGCTATGATCAACAATTAGGTGGAAGCGTAGTCATTTTCTATTGTTACCTTTAATATTGTTGATTATTTTGAATGCATACGTTTAATCACGTTTTATATTGCAAATCAATTGCTTGTTGAGCTTAATCTTTATCATTGTTTCGAGAAATGTGTTAAGGCAATAAATGAAAATTTCCTTAAAACTACCATTAATAAATGATATGACATAATCTAATTGCAAAATTTCTCAAGTGTCTTCGTCAACAAATTTGGGTTTACAAAAATTTGAGGTTTCCAGTATAATGTTCACATATTCTGGTAAATGTATGCGTTTAACAAAAACCAATGGCTTAAGACATTGGTCATCATGAATGCAAATAGGCGCTTTAAATTTAGGTTTCCTTTTAAAATAAACCAGAATTTTATCATATTTTGCCAATACCTGTTTCGTTTGTCCTAAGGCTCTTGGACTAAAACGAAACAGGTACGAATGATTTTTTTTTTCAAATTCAGGACTTTTCACAATTATTCCTGCAAAAATGAAAATAATATAGCAAAGCGCTTTAAATTTAGGTTTCCTTTTTAAATAAACCAGAATTTTATCAAATTTTGCAAATACCTGTTTCGTTTGTCCTAAGCCTCTTGGACTAAAACGAAACAGGTATGATTGAAAAATTTTTCAAAATCCAGGACTTTTCACAAATTATTCCTGCAAAATGAAAATAATATAGCGAGGCGCTTTAAATTTAGGTTTCCTTTTTAAATAAACCAGAATTTTATCAAATTTTGCAAATACCTGTTTCGTTTGTCCTAAGCCTCTTGGACTAAAACGAAACAGGTATGATTGAAAATTTTTTCAAAATCCAGGACTTTTCACAAATTATTCCTGCAAAATGAAAATAATATAGCGAGGCGCTTTAAATTTAGGTTTCCTTTTTAAATAAACCAGAATTTTATCAAATTTTGCAAATACCTGTTTCGTTTGTCCTAAGCCTCTTGGACTAAAACGAAACAGGTATGATTGAAAATTTTTTCAAAATTCAGGACTTTTCACAAATTATTCCTGCAAAATGAAAATAATATAGCGAGGCGCTTTAAATTTAGGTTTCCTTTTTAAATAAACCAGAATTTTATCATATTTTGCCAATACCTGTTTCGTTTGTCCTAAGCCTCTTGGACTAAATCGAAACAGGTATGATTGAAAAATTTTTCAAAATTCAGGACTTTTCACAAATTATTCCTGCAAAATGAAAATAATATAGCGAGGCGCTTTAAATTTAGGTTTCCTTTTTAAATAAACCAGAATTTTATCAAATTTTGCAAATACCTGTTTCGTTTGTCCTAAGCCTCTTGGACTAAAACGAAACAGGTATGATTGAAAATTTTTTCAAAATCCAGGACTTTTCACAAATTATTCCTGCAAAATGAAAATAATAAAGCGAGGCGCTTTAAATTTAGGTTTCCTTTTTAAATAAACCAGAATTTTATCAAATTTTGCAAATACCTGTTTCGTTTGTCCTAAGCCTCTTGGACTAAAACGAAACAGGTATGATTGAAAATTTTTTCAAAATTCAGGACTTTTCACAAATTATTCCTGCAAAATGAAAATAATATAGCGAGGCGCTTTAAATTTAGGTTTCCTTTTTAAATAAACCAGAATTTTATCAAATTTTGCAAATACCTGTTTCGTTTGTCCTAAGCCTCTTGGACTAAAACGAAACAGGTATGATTGAAAATTTTTTCAAAATTCAGGACTTTTCACAAATTATTCCTGCAAAATGAAAATAATATAGCGAGGCGCTTTAAATTTAGGTTTCCTTTTTAAATAAACCAGAATTTTATCATATTTTGCCAATACCTGTTTCGTTTGTCCTAAGCCTCTTGGACTAAATCGAAACAGGTATGATTGAAAAATTTTTCAAAATTCAGGACTTTTCACAAATTATTCCTGCAAAATGAAAATAATATAGCGAGGCGCTTTAAATTTAGGTTTCCTTTTTAAATAAACCAGAATTTTATCAAATTTTGCAAATACCTGTTTCGTTTGTCCTAAGCCTCTTGGACTAAAACGAAACAGGTATGATTGAAAATTTTTTCAAAATTCAGGACTTTTCACAAATTATTCCTGCAAAATGAAAATAATATAGCGAGGCGCTTTAAATTTAGGTTTCCTTTTTAAATAAACCAGAATTTTATCATATTTTGCCAATACCTGTTTCGTTTGTCCTAAGCCTCTTGGACTAAATCGAAACAGGTATGATTGAAAAATTTTTCAAAATTCAGGACTTTTCACAAATTATTCCTGCAAAATGAAAATAATATAGCGAGGCGCTTTAAATTTAGGTTTCCTTTTTAAATAAACCAGAATTTTATCAAATTTTGCAAATACCTGTTTCGTTTGTCCTAAGCCTCTTGGACTAAAACGAAACAGGTATGATTGAAAAATTTTTCAAAATCCAGGA